GAACCCGCCACCTTAAGTATATGTGGCTGGCACGGTAGCCACTTGAGCCATAGGCGCCAAGCCAAAAACTAAGATGTTAAGAGCAGTATTTTCCAAAGTTCTTGACAGTAGATGTCATAGAAATATGTATCATTGGACCAGGTGCTGTGGCTCATGCCTGTAATCCTAGCACTCTGGGAGGCTGTGGTGGGTAGATTGCCTGAGCTCACAGGTTTGAGACCAGCCTGAGCAAGAGCAATACCCCATCTCTAAAAAAAACCAGCCACGCTTTCTGGCAGGTTCCTGTAGTCCCAGCTAGAGAGACGAGAACTGCTTGAGCCCAAGAGTTTGAGGTTGCTGTGAGCTGTGATGTCACCGAGGATGACAAAGACTGTCTCAAAAAAAAAAAAAAAAGAAATATCTATCATCACCTTGTACTCATTCATATATTTATGTAACTAAGTTTCATGAAACAACACTATGTAGGAAAATAAAAACCTAGTTAATTCCAAATATAATTTTATTAACATTTAAATACAACATACAACAAAATCCCTTAAAAAGTACAAACACAAGGAGCGGCTAAGGTGCCAGCCACATACACCTGAGTTGGTGGGTTCGAATCCAGCCCGGGCCCGCCAAACAATGATGGCTGCAACCAAAAAATAGCCGGGCGTTGTGGCAGGCACCTATAATCCCAGCTACTAGGGAGGCGGAGGCAGGAGACTTGCTTGAGCCCAGGAGTTGGAGGTTGCTGTGAGCTTTGATGCACGGCACTCTACCCAGGGTGACAGCTTGAGGCTCTGTCTCAAAAAAAAAGAAAAGTACAAACACAAAATTTTGTGAAGATTTTATTTAATGTGATGGGTGTGCTTGCCTGTTCATAAGTTCCTTCCAGTCAGGAATGCATGAAGATAATGCTACCCGCATGTCTGGTGCACTATTGAGCCGATTTCTTTTCTTTGTTTTTAATCGTGTCAAGATTGAAAATCCTAGTTCACACAAATGAGTAGTTGTGAATGGTAACAACAGCAATATGCTCTTTCTACTTAGCAATGGAAATTCACCTTTAATCTTAATCCAAAATGTTGATAAACTTAATGTCTTATAATAATTCTTCAGTGTGAATGATGAAGTGAGCTGTAGTAATTCATTCTCTTCTTCAGGCTCCAAGTTTAATTCAATTATTGATTCTGGGTTTTGAAAAGCAAATGGATTTTTCATCCAAATATTTTTCTTTAATGATTCAAATTTCTCTTGTGGAAAGTAATAACTAAAGGTTCGAGACAAAGAGTTAAGATGCAACAATATCTCTAATTTTACTTCTTTTAAGCAATCTTCATTAATAATGTTCTCTTCAATGTGTTGCAACAATGTCGGGAACATATAGTAGCTAGGGTGATTACTTTTAAGTCTTACTTGCCACAATGACAATGTCTTTTGGAATCCTAGAATGTGTTCAAGATATTGAAATATATCATTGTTTTTCCCCTGTATTTTCAAACTTAATTCATTGAAAACACCAAAAATATCACTTAAATATGCCAATTTTGTTATCCAAATGCCATCTTCAAAAATATTTGCCAAATGAGATTGCTTTTCAATGAGAAAAATGTAAATCTCATTCCTGAGTTCATATACTTTGCTCAATACTTTTCCTTGAGACAACCAACGAACTTCTGTATGAAACAGTAAGTGGGTATGGTTAATTCCAATCTCTGAACAAAATATTTCAAGGAGTCTGCTGTTCAATGAACTTCCCTTAATAAAATTAACAATTTTCACTGCATTTTTCAAAACATCCATTAGATTTGGTGGAATTTCTTTGGATACCAAAGCTTCGCGATGAATGAAACAGTGATTCCAAAGAACATTGTTATGGGTGGCTTCTAACAATTTTTCAATAACCTTGCTATGTTTTCCAGTCATATTTGCGGCTCCATCACTTGAAATTCCTTTACAATTTTCCCAGTTTAATTTATATTGACCAATAATGCACTTTTCTAGTTCAGCAAATAAGTCTAATCCAGTTATATGTGAATTTAAATTTAAACAACATAAAAGATCTTCTACAAAATCATCTTGCCACACATATCTGACATAAACTAAGAGTGTGGGACAACTTGCAATATCAGTGCTCTCATCAAGTTGGATCGCAAAGTCTATACCAGACTGTAGCCGTGTAATAAGCATTGCTTCTAAATGTTTTGCAATAGTACAGATCCGACGAGATATTGTGTTATCACTAAGAGGTATAGTTCTTAGTTTATCAGCTGATTTATCATCAAAAATTGTACGTACCATATCCATACATGCTGGAAGAATAATTTTTTCAGCAGCTGTGTGGGCCATTTTCTCTTTTGCCACTCGATATGCTACTAAATATGATGACAGTAAGGCTCTCTCATTCATAGTTGTAGAGCAACTAAGAAGCTGTGGTGATGACTCTACATTATTTGTTACCCTTTGACAATGGTCTTCTTCATTTTCATCTTCTTCCTTGACCTTTGCTATAACTATGCCTTCCATCTCTTGGCTATTCTGGGGGGACAAATCTTTAGTAACCCTTGAGTCAGCAGTCATTATTCAGGTTGTAGATACAGGCTCACTCGATCCAAATAGGGTGTTTTGTAGGACTGTCCTTTGTGACCTAGGAGGTTTTATGAAATTGGTTTTTGCTATCCTGCAGGGTAGAAAAATTTAATAGCAGTATTAAAAAGCTACATTGTATTGCTATGCTACTAACAATTCATAAGTAGTAATAGCTAGAGTGAGAACCTGTCTCTAAAAATAACTATCATTCATGTTAGCTATATGTCAGGCAGATTTGGTGCATTACATATATAGGTCCTTTAATACCCATAGAAACCTAATGAAGTATACATGATTATTATGCCTATTTTACAGATGCAAAATAGAAGTTGAGAAAAATTAAATTAGTCTAACACTACATTGTTAACAGAACCAGTACTCAAACCCAAGTCTGAAGCCAGTGTCGTAAGTATGCTGTTACATAGCCAAATCAAAAAAGTTATCAGGTTACTTTTAAAAGTAATCACAAAGGAGGGTGTACAAGATAATCCACCGGAGCACAGAGAAAAGAATTAGAATTAAGAAGAAATTGAGCATTCATTGCAAAGTCAATTAGTAAAAAAAAAAAAGGAATTAAGCTGCATAATTATACAAACACTGGAACATTTAGTGTTACTCAGACCCATGAGATACTCTAGAGCAGCAGTTTTTAACCTGTGGGTTACAACCTACAGGAACTGTATTAAAGGGCTGCAGTATTAGGAAGGTTGAGAACCACTACTCTAGAGGAAGAGATTGTGATAACAGATGGAGGCTGACAAGATATCTTCATTTGCTTGCTTTTAGTATATTGCAATATTTCACTGTTCATATGAGAGCCTAACGGACTTATGGATATTATTTGGTTTTACTAAACTAACCCTCAAAATTTGATCAGATGGCTTAAATGACTAGTGTAAAGAAATACATACCACATTATAACAGGTATGTCAAGGATGGACTGAATTGCCCCAAGAACAGCTAGGGAGAAGGATGCTCCAAGGATTCATTGCTTTGACTAAATTTATCCACTACTGGAAGCTAATGCAATTCCTGCAAATCTTTATTTATTTATTTTTTTAAAGGCAGAGTCTCACTCTGTCACCCTGAGTAGAATGCCATGGCTCCTCATAGCTCACAACAACGTCAAAACAGTTGGGCTCCAGCAATTCTCTTGCCTCAGCCTCCCAAGTATGTGGGACTACAAGCGCCCACCACAATGCTTGGCTGTTTTAGAGACAGGGTCTAACTAACTCAGGTTGGCCTCAAATTCCTGAGTTTAGGCAATTGGCTCCCCTTGGCCTCCCAGAGTGTAGAATTGCAGGTGAGCCACCTGGCTAATTCCTGCAAACCTTAATTTCATTCTCTTATTCATTAATCTATGAGAACCATTAGAGAAAATGACTCTCAAAT